CAAGAGCACTGGCTGCTCTTCCTGAGGACCGGATTCGATTCCCAGCACCCACATGGCAGCTCACAACTGGCTATAGCTCCAGTTCCTGGGAGCTGGGTACCCTTTTTTATGGTATTCACTGGCACTCTACTCACACATACATGTAAGTAAAATAAATATTTAAGAAATGTAATTAGAAATAGTGTCACATCTCATTAGCTTTCTCAGTGCTTGGGATTGAACCAGGGGCCCACAGATTAGACTATTGGAGACAGGGCCTCTTAGTGTAGTTATGGCTGGCCTCAAACTAATGGCGGCCCTCCTCCTCCTTCAGCTTTTCTTGTGTTGCAGTTACAGCCATTTGCCACCCTACCTGGCCTGTCTGCTTCTCTGCCTTGTCCCTTCTGGAGTCCTGCTAAGCAGGCTGTCGCCCCACCGATGAGCGATGAGCTACATTCTCAGCTCTCTTATTTTGAGATGGGGTCTCAATATGTGTTGTGGGCTGGCTTTGAACTCCTGGTTCTGTTGCCTTGGCAGACGTTGAATTTGTGACCTTCTTGCCTCAGCCTCCTGAGTAGCTGGGATTATAGGTCAGCGTCCTCATGCTGGGTTTGTCCAGTCTTTATCAGGATTAAATGAAGCATTTTATGTTCTGACGTTAACATTAAGACATTGTTTCAGGGAGTTGATAATTCCAGTGCGACTCTTTGGGCTCAGATGAAATACTAGCTTTCACAGTAGATTGTGTTCAGGCTGGAGGGACACCCCCTCCAATGCTTGTGGGAGATGATTTTTCTGTAGGCTGTAGGACCCAGGAAGCAAGATGAATCTGAAAAGGGAACTAGTTATAATTTGGGGAAGTGACTTTTCCCCACACTTCCAGAAATTGGCGGTTCTCAGGGTTTGATTTGAGTAGGCAGTGCGGGGAGGCCTCTGTGAACAAACTACAGTGATATATGAGAATATCACCATGAACTTGCCATTGTGCATGCTAGCAACAGAAAAAAACTAAAAATCCGAGGAAGGGGAAACGTTTTCCCCTCAGGACACCCTTATGTGTAGAAGTTACTGCAGACTCTAGAGAGCTTTGGTTCCTGTGGATTGTTGGTGTCTGTGTCGCTCCCCTTACCCCTTCAGTATGTGCATGTGCGCTTGTGTGTGTTTCTGGGCATGAAGTCCAGGGTTTGTGCATGCTAGGCAAGTGCTTAACCACTAAGCCCTGTTCTCCCCCGAACCTCCCAGCACCTGGCTGGTGTTATTTAACACACAGCTACCGCTGTGTTTGGTTTGTTGGGCCATGTGTCAGGTACTTCTGGAAAAAAGAATTGAAGTGAGGAGCTTGCAATACCCCCCCCACTCCTCTTTGGGGTCTCTGGGACCTGCTTTTTAATACTGTACCTTGAACAGTTGATGGCCAGGGCTGCAGCCAGAGTATCCAATCGTTCAAGAGGTAGCTTTTAAATCAAGGCAAGTTGGCTTAGTCTTCATGACGGCAGTGGGAGAGTTGAGCAACCAGCCTGGATGTTGGGCCATTCTAGCAGCCTGCTCTAACTTAATCCACTGGAGGAGAGTTGAAATGTTAGGTTTCAATAAAAGGAAACCCAGCGTAGGTAGCATTGTAGGCAGCACGCTGATGTCTGAGACCTTGGCTCTGAGCAGCCACACAGGTCAAGTTCAGATCAGGCCAGCAGTGGAGCATTGCCACCGGCTCTAGACCATGCTGCTGTCCCTGGCCCTGGCCTGCACCTTCTCACCTGGCTGGAGCTTGGGCTCTCCTCCTTCAGGCTGTCTTATCTTAGTACATAGAAGTTCATCTTGTTACCTGATGCCTGACCATTTGAGGGAAGAACCTTGTCAAAATCTTGTTCTTTTGAATCGGGAGTCTCACAAAGCCAGGATGGGGGCTACACACAGTTCAAGTTCTGTAAACTGAACTCTGTAGGGAGACAAGTGTGTCGTGCCAGTGAAGGCCTCTGGGAGCCCAGCTCAGTGGAGAGACAGGCAATGCCCTGTATCTGTTTCCAAGAAGTGTCTGCAAATGGAACTGAGGGCAACACTGCCTCTCTGTCTCTAAGCAACTTAGCTGTTGCCATGGTGATGCATTCCCCAGGAAGCAGATGCAGTAAGCTGTGGAATGCAGTTGGTCTGGTAGCCTGAGCTTTTTTCTCCTTACTCTTTTGGTAGCCTGATTCAAATGGTATTAGCACAGGTTACATAAAATTGTTAAAAGGAAGGGCACAAAGATGGTCCAAATAAAGAGGCTATTCAGTGAATAGCGGGTAGCATGTTCTAGGCCAGGCGGTTTGCATTGAAAGCCTGATAAACGATAAAGACTTGTTTGGAGATGTTTTGGTGAACAAAGTGGTTTAGCTTTGACTGCAAAAAACAGACACCTAGAATTAGAACTTCTGAAGTCTGATAGAACTGTCTACCACAGGCACTCAGGAGCCTGGTGGTCTAGCTTTGACTCTCCTCCAGAAGACCTCCAAGACAGACTCTCAGCTTCATGTTTTGCATCCTTTTTTCCTTCTTGGTCCAAAATGACTGATGGAAGTTCTAGACAGTGCATCTAAATGTCATGTAAGGTGTAATGGCTCTCATGAGCAGACCCTGTTGCAGAGGAGATTGCAAAGTATAATCTTCCATCCTGACTTCAGCTTGACATCCCGCTAGTGTGTGAGAGAAGGGAGATGGATGTAGGGAATGCAGGAGTTGTAAGGGTTATTCTGATTTTAGAAGTAACCCGAGGAAAATGGTTTCATGCTGAAGTGCAAATACTAGAACATGAACTAAGGCCTACCCCCCTTCCTCTTCCCCCTCCACCGGTGGTTTACCCTTGGCCACATAAATCTCAGAATTTCCCAGGGACCAGAGATTCCACGTGCTTCCCAATTTCGTCTTCACAGAGATCCACAGATGGTTCCTATTTTTGCAGCTGGTTGATGTGAGCAAGTCATCAGGGTTAGTATATGGCCAAGCTGGGGGTTCGACCCTGGTTGGTCTCAGCTGTAGACCTCGCCCTTCAAGAAGAGAAGGCTGTGTCGAAGTAGGGGAAGCGTTTCTACATGGGATGGGTTGCTGGACTGGGATGATGGCTCAGCAAGCATGAGGACCCGAGTTTCATCCCTAGAACCCACAAGCTACATACAGTGGGCTCTAATCCCAGCACTAACTGGGGAGGCAGAGACAGGTGGATCCTGGGGCTTTCTGGTCAGTTGTGGTGATGTAAAATGTGAGCCCCAGATCCTAGTGAGACTAGACCCTGTGTCAGAAACCTAGGTGGATGGCTCCTGAGGAATGGCACTTGTGACGTGCACAAAATAAAGAATAAGTTCTGCGTATGTTCCAAACAGTGAGCCTGGTGTAGGGAGTTCCTTGGAGGGTAATTAGCTGGTAGCTACTGCTCAGGGTTACAGGTCACAATGCAGTGTAACTGCAGTGTTTGCTCCTTGCTGGGCTCCCCCTTATCTGACCTCTGCAGAACTAGTTTAGCCCCTAGAGAAACCAGAAGTGCTTTCTGGACTCCTGGCAGGTGTCCTGGGGCTCACCTCCCTTGCTTGACTCTCTGGACTCTGTGGCTGCTGTGAAACAAGGCCAGACTCCTGTCAGCCATTCTTATTTTAGATTATTCTTCCTCAGTCTTCCCAGTGTTGGGATTAAGGTGTGTGTGACCGTTGTGAAAGATTTTCACGTGGTAGTCCTGGTTGGCCTGGAACTCACAGAGGCCCTTGTTAGCCTCACAAGTGCTAGGATTAAAGTTGAAGCCAGCTGTGGCGGCTTACCTCTCCATCTCAGCGCCAGGGAGGCTGAGGCAGGAGGATTTGAGTTTGAGGCAAGCCTGGGCTACACTATGTATGGAGGCCTTATCTCAAAAGACTAAAGCGGGAAGGAAAGACAGCAGCGCCCCTCCTCTTCCTACCCCTGAGGACAAGGACAACGTGTCGCCAGACCCTTGACTTGAAGTGTAGAGTTTAACTTGTGCAAGCTGAGTGCTGTTCATGTCCTACAGACACGAATAACAGCAGGCTGAACCAGGAGCCGCTAGGAGCTCAGGCAAACATTCTAAGAACTTTCTTAGAGGTAGCTAACCAAACACCTCAGAAGGAACTTGGTTTTAAGGTCAGGGTGTGGGAGGGTGAGAATGGAGGCTAGAACGTTGGGAACAACAACAACTGTAGTCCAGGCTGATCTGGAACCCCCAGGGCAGACCTCAGATAGTATGTGTAGCTTAGCTCCTAGGAAGCCTTTGCCTTATGACGCCCCACTCCCTCCATTTTCAGCATGGCTTGGCCTCTGGGTATTGAGTTTGGAAACAGATGTGTTTGTAATTTGGTGTGTGTGTATAGTGCGAGCAGCAGATTCCTGGTTCATGTGATGGTATCTGAAGATGTTCAGGCTGTCAGGTGAGCTTGCTCCAGCTGTTCAGGGAACCCCAGGGGAGCTGGCGGATACAGTAACGGAGCACATCATTCATTCCCTTAGTCTTCCGGAAGAGCCTGCTCAGGGATCCATGTGTGGGCCGCGTGTTTGTGGCATGCAAGCAGGTGACTCTCTGGGTGTCCAAGGTGAAGCAGTGTGGCTGAGAGCTATGGGGTTTTCTGGTTTGACGTAGGCCAGGTGTCTTCGAGGTTGGTCCTCATACTATCCCATCATCCTCTGTGTCTGGCAAATTTTCTGGGTTGTTTGCTTTTTGTTTTAAGATATCATCTGATTGTGTAGCCCAGGCTGACCCGCAAACTCACCATCCCTGTCTCAGCCTCCTGAGTGCTGGGATTGCTATAATCAGATTTTGGGAATTGGAAACCCTGGCACTGTTTATAATAGACAGGACAGATGTGTCCTGTCAGTCCCACGACTCACTTAGGACAGGTTCTCTACCTGGCCAGCTATTTCTGTGATGTAGTTAGCACTTCACGGTCTAGTGAGTGGTGGCAGGCAGAACTGACTAGTCCTTAGCACCATGGTCTTATGTATCAGGCTGGGACCCCTCCTCATCCTGGTTCTCCTTTTTTTTTTTTAAGCTCTGACCACCCCTGTCCAAGACCCAAAGGTATGCGCCGGGGGCTCAGCGGTGCTGTGCAGAGACCTGAAGACAGCCGTGGAATGCGGGGCCGTGAAGCATTGTCAGCAGATGGTGTGGAGCAAGCCCACAGCGGTGAGTGCCAGCCACATGCTGCCCTCTGCAGCTCTGTAGAGCACTTTGTCCTCAGCTCCCTGGGGGCCCTGTTGCAGATAGGACCCGCCCCTGCTTGTGTCCAGCTTACCTCAGAGGCGGAGACTCAGAGGCCTGTCCCTTCAGTACCCTGTGTCTTGGTGGTCCCACACTCCCTTGTGGGCCTTCCTTCAGGTCTGCCCCCTCTCCAGGTGGGTCATGGTGCAGGCACACAGCGGGTGTACCCAGCCTTCACCATCATCCCAGGAAGCTCAGACTCCATCTGCTCACCCTCCCTCACCCCTCAACCAGGCAGACCACTGACTGAGCCCTGAGACCCAGCTGTAGCTATGTTTTATTTCCACCTGTAACTGCACTGGCGAAGATGACTGCCGTCATGTCAGTGATGGTGATAAATGAAACATGGGCAGAGATGGGCAGACGCCCCAAGCGTTTATCTGTCTGAAACCTCAGGGACTAGGCACAGAATGATGGGACTGCTACTGGCTTATACTGGCACATGCTAGTGGAATGGACTGAGTTTGGCTTAGTGGAGTTTGGGTTCTGAACTTGTCAGGGCCGATTGCCTACTTTTAGTAAGAAAAGAAAACTTGGTGAAACATTGCCCAGTCACTTGGTAGAAAATCGTCGTTGTGTGGCCAGGACCTTCTCTGGGTTCTCTTTGCTTCCAGTCCTGTTTAGAGTATTGCTTCCTCTTAGAAAGTTTCGAGGGCAGTGAGTGAGGGCTGTGGAACCTTCTGGGTCAGTAGTGAGGCAGTGATTAGGACAGCACCTTGAGGGGTGGGGGAGGAGGGGTCCCTTGTGTGACATGTCCACACATACAAAATTTTCTGTCTTGTTTGTTTCCTCTTAGAAATCCCTTCCATGTGACTTATGCAAAGATGTTGTCACTGAAGCTGGGAACATCCTGAAAAACAATTCCACTCAGGTGAGCTACTGTGGAGGAGGGTGGGTATGGGCTGGTGGCTGTGTGTTTTTAAGACACCTGTCTGGCTCTGGGCTCCAGAGAAGAGTGGTGTTGGCCCAGGGGTGGCAAACACTGACATGCCTCACCTTATAGGATACACTAAATCTGACTGAGAGAGTTCGTTTTATTCTTAAAGATTTTGTTTTTAATTTTTAAAGATTAAAAGAAAAATTTTTAATGTGTGTGAGTGTTTTGCTTACATGTATATATTTGTACACCTGTGCCCTGTGCTCACAGGTCAAAGGGAGGCATAGAATCCCCCTGGAATTGGAGCTGCAGGTGTTTGTGAGACACCATGTGGGTGCTGAGAACCGAACCCAGGTCCTCAAGAGCAGCAATTGCTTTTAACTGTCTAGCCATCTTGCCTCCTTTTTTTTGTTTGTTTGTTTTTTGTTTTGTTTTTTCGAGACAGGGTTTCTCTGTACTGTTTTGGAGGCTGTCCTGGAACTCACTCTGTAGACCAGGATGGCCTGGAACTCAAAGAGATCTGCCTGCCTCTGCCTCCCCAGTGCTGGGATTAAAGGCATGCACCACCGACGCCCTGCTTTGCCTCCTTGTTTTTGAGGCAGGGTTTCACTACACAGAGAACTCCCTCTGTAGAGCAGGCTGCCCTCAAACTAAGATCCGCTTGTCTCTGCCACCTGGGTGCTGGGATTAAAGGCTACAGTGCGGGCTCTTTTGTTTTGCTGGGTAGCTCAGTGCTCCTTGAACTTGTTGTCTATTGCCTTAGGAGTCTGAGTGCTGGAACTGTAGGAAGGTACCACCACACTCAGCTTTAACACCATCATTGTGTGTGTACATGTGATATGTGGGTGTACTTACTGTGTGTGGGCATTTGGAGGCTGAAGTTGACTGGGTGTCTGCCTCTGTCTCTTCATTTAATTCACTAAACAGGGGCTTGTCATATGAGCTAGACTCTCTGGTCAGCCACCCCTTGGAATCTGCCTGTTTTCATTCCCTGCTTCCCCGCCAGCACTGGGGTTTGAGGTCTGCTTTTCCAATCCTGGCTTTTACATATATGGGTGCTGAGGATCCAAACTCAGGCCTTCTTGATTGTTGCTGGAGTCACTGATGAAGGACCTTTTGCCTTGCATTGTGTCCCCTTGCAGGAAGAGATCCTTCATTACTTGGAGAAGACCTGTGAGTGGCTTCCTGACTCCAGCCTCCAGAACTCCTGCAAGGAAGTGGTTGATGCTTACCTGCCTGTCATCCTGGACATGATTAAGGGGGAGATGGTAGGTCATTGGGGGAGGGCCAAGAGCAAAAGGGCTGAAAAGGGAAGTGTGTTCATGGCTTTGCATTTCTCCTGCAGCTCTTCACAGGGCTTCTTGCATGGGATAGCTATGGCAAGGTGGCTTTTCTTGCCTGTCTGTGCTTTGCTGGGGCCAGGGTGCTTTGGACTCCTGCATCCTGTTGATAGATAGAAATCAGTAACTCTTGTCAAGCCTCTATTTCTAGAGCAAACCCATGGCTTCATCTTTGTAGAATTAAGGACTAATTCTGGGGATGTAGTGTGAGGACAGCTGCTAAGATGCTGGTTTGTCACAGCACGTGTGCACTGTGCCCAGATTGGGTGCCAAAAGCTAGGAGTCTGCAGTGAACCAGGAGCTGCTTTTATGGAATTTGAAAGGCTTCAGGAAGGAGGTGCTGAAGAAGCCAGCCACTGGGCCAATAGTGCTAAAAGTGGAACCAAGGTTTTGTGAGGGAGGTGAGCATGTGACACAGAGTCTTCTGTGTCCCATGGCAAGACACCCAGGAAGAACACTACAGCATTGCTGGAGGTGTTGTGGGGGCAGTGGAGATGGACAGATGCACACTGTGTTTTGAAGAATGAATAGGCTGGCCTTACTCATGGAGGGGAAATACAGGAGCATGAAGGGCTGCAAACATTTCTGGATCTTCTGGGGAGTTGGGAGTGGAGTCTTTTTTGTTAAAATGACTACTCAAGGGAGCGGGTTGAATGAGATAGAATTGGGCGTAAACTGGAGATGTTCCTGAGGTGGTCATGAGTATGAGTTACAGTAAGAGATGAGAATTTGTGGAAGGTGTTGGTTTGAAACCAGTGGGTTGCATTAGCTTGCTTGCAGCTTGTGAGCGGACCGTGGCCATCACTCAGTCCCTGACCCTTCCCCCTCTACTCAGTGGCTAATCTCCCTTTAAGGAAGAGCTGCAGTGACTTTTCGGGCCTAGGAGGCCTCTGTAGGTTAGGTACGATGTTGTAACTTTCTATTTGTCCTCGGTGCACTGAGTAGTATAGTGTTCTTTTTAATGGACACATGGACGCGAGGGAGGGACTGACTGATGATGCCGGCTTCTCTTGCCCTGTGGGGTGGGCTTTCAGCTGTCTCTTCTCCCTTCCAGAGCAACCCCGGGCAAGTGTGCTCTGCACTCAACCTGTGCCAGTCTCTCCAGAAGTACTTGGCTGAGCAAAACCATGAGAAACAGCTCGAGTCCAACGAGATCCCGGAGGTGGACATGACCAGAGTGGTTGCCCCCTTTATGGCCAATGTCCCTCTCCTGATGTACCCTCAGGATGGCACCCACAGCCAGCCCCAACTCAAGGTTAGCTGAAGGCGGGTGGAGTCATGGTGAGCGCAGTGGGAGCATGGCACACAGAACTTCTCTATTCTGGCCCCTGACTCTAGTTTCCAAAGAGCAGGGTATTTTAAAGATGCTCACCCCCTACTGGAGCATAGCCTCTCCAGGCCACGCCCTACTGCCAGCCCCATGTAGTACTTTTGTCAGAAGGAATGGCCTGGAGGTTAAAAGCCTGGCTCCCAGGAGCTGTTAGTCAGTCATCTGTAGTGAGATGTGGCATTCTCTCAGCTTGCTGCTGTTCTCCTTGTAGGCCAACGATGACGTCTGCCAGGATTGTGTGAAGATGGTGACTGACATCCAGACAGCTGTGAGGACCAACTCTACCTTTGTCCAGGGCTTGGTGCAGCATGTCAAGAAGGAGTGTGACCGCCTGGGGCCAGGCGTGGCTGATATGGTGAGCTCCTGGCCCCCCTGCTTTGGATGTGTTCTTGACTAAGGTGGCAAGTAGTGACCATCCCACTGACTCCGAAGAAGAGGTGGTTCGGCGTTTCTCTTTCCCTACCTGCTTTTAGTAGGGTGTGGGTATATTTTGGTTAGGTGAGTCAGCACTGGAAGAAAACCACTTTGGTAAAGCTTTCTTTTTTCCTTTTCTGTCACCGTACATTAGAAACACTAGAACCATTTTTTAAAAATTTATTTTAAAAAGCAGCTGGTTTGTGTGTGGCATAGCACTTGTACGGCAGTCAGAGGACAACCTGAGGGAGTTTGTTGTGGGTCCTCAGGGATAGAACTGAGTGGCCTTCTTTTACCCTCTGAGTCGTCTTGCCAGCTCTAGAACCTGTTTTTGAAAGCATGACTGTGGTCTGTGAATGAGGCTTAGAGTCCTGTTTCCCCTAAGAGTGGGCCACCTGATAGCAACTTGCAGGACATTGGTTCTGTGGCCTCAGCACCCGAATGTCTGAATGGCTTTGGAAGGTTCTTAACAGTATTTTTCAGCTATATTCTCTAGATTGCTACTAATGGTGGCCTTGGGGCATTCAGCCTGTCAGACACTGAGGACTCCAAGTTCCTTTGTTATAATATCTCCACAAATTTTATAGGGGGTAGAATAACCAAATTGCTGTATTATCTTATTAATCTGAGGAGATGCTTAGATTTATTCTGGGATTTTTTTTTCCTTGTGAGAGCAGGTCTCTGTATCTCTGGCTGGTCTCAGCCTCTGGCTGCTAGGATTATAGGCCTATCAATGTCCATTTGCTAGTCACCAGTTGGCACTTTTGAAATGCCATTTGGGATGTGCTGAACTGAACCTTTCTCTCTTTGCAGTGCAAGAACTACGTTGACCAGTATTCTGAAGTTGCCATTCAGATGATGATGCACATGGTAGGTGGCCAGGGACCTCTGGTTAGCATTCACAGTTGACACCTCCATGCTTTAGAATCCTCCTTTTCCAGTTGTGGGCCAAAGTAAACTTTCTTTGTCCAGCAAACTCCCTACTTGTGACCCTAGCCCATCCTTCTGCCAGCAAAGTCTGCCCTAGCTGATGCGGTCCTGAGCTGTCCTGATTGCCTGGGGCCTGCTAGTCTGTGCGTGTGTGAGTTGTCATCAGATTGCTAGTGTCTGGCTGAGCCCTGGGATCTGTAGGGGTATCATGCCCTGCCACTAAACCAGCATGGGAGAATTCAAAGGGCAGCCTGTGTTCTCTGTCGGGAGGGAGGGAACCCTGCCTGGCAGAGCTGGAGCAGTGTCCAGGGAAGTAGGGTTAGCTAGAGTTGCTGCTCAATCCCTAGCTCCTGATGGCATCTGATGATGTCTAAGGGGGCAGGTGGAGATTCACTGCCTGCAAGAGGTGGGAAACGTGGGGCATGGGAGCCACTGGCAGAGCCGAGTGCGTGGGACACACGTGTCTCCGCTCTGATGGACTGCTGGGGGTCCTTGTTCACGCTTGAACGTAGGCCCTTCCCTACTCTGTATAGTTGCCACCCTGCTGCTGGCCTGACCTGCTTTACAAGCAGGCCCTCTGGCCAGGCCTTGTTTAGCATCATTGCTCATGCCCTGGATAGCAATAACATCTAAAGGCAGCTAATAAAAGACTCCATGGTAAAGATAGACCTTTGATGTGAAGTGGCCAGATAACTTCAGTCGTTTTTACTAAAGGGGGGGGGGTGAGGGAGGTTTTTAAAAATGTTCTATGTATCAAATCATTTGAGTTTTGAAAACATATGAACGTATTTTATATGCCATCTTAGAATTTTTCTCTAAAAATATACATATATTTTCTGGGGGGAGAAAGTTTCCTTTTCCCCTAAAAATGATGGTCTCATTTTGTAGCTCTTTGGCCTGAGATCCCAGATGCTGGGAGTAAAGGTGTGCATCACCATACATTACCTTTGTATTCAGCTGAGCTCGGGGAGTTTGCTATTTGTAGCCCTCAAAAGGCCAGGTGTGGTTAGCTCCACAGATGGAGGCCCTTACAGGGACAGCTTCCACCAGCTGCATGGCCTGCCCCTGAGGGCTGGGCTGGCTCCCTAGGCCCCACCCTCCCTCACTGCCCGAGTGTCGCCCTTGAACTTTGACATCCCTATGCCTGGATAACTGCTTGATTGTTGTTTTAATTTTTCTTAACTGTTGTGTCCTTTCCTTTCTCTTATTTTCACCTCCGATTTCCTGTTTTTTTGTTCAACAGCAGGATCAGGTATGTGATGAGAATTTGCTTGTGGTAGTGGTCTGCTGCTTCTAGTTGTTGGCTTTTTTTTTTTTTTTTCTTTTTGGTTTGGCATGGTGAGCTCTGAGGTACAACAAAGGATCTCCCCATACTAGGCCCTGTTCCCCTGAGATTGAGCACTTTGGGTCATGGGGGCTTAACTCCCGTTTTGGAGGGCCAGAAGGTAGTGACACTAGCAGAGCACACATGCCAGTCGCCAGGGTGATGATGGGGGTGCCTTGACTTCCTGCAGTGAAGGAAGGCACTGGCCCTGCCAGGACACCTGTGTCCTTCACATTGGGTGACATTGCATGGCTTTGTGCTGTTTTCCTAATCTCAGAAATGCTTCTGCATGAGCAAACTAGATGCAGACGGTGACTTGACTTGCTGGATGGAGAGACTTGTACATGGTCTCTCAATTGTGGCTACTACCCTTTAGGGAATGGGTCATGGGGCCTTACTGGGTGGCATGTTTAGTTCATAATGGCTGAGCCATTGCCCTTTTGGGTTTATTCTGAATAATGCCTTCAAGTCTAGGATTTGCCTTCTAGACGCTGGAAGGCATTTTGAATCTCACAGGAAAGGATTTAAATAAAAATGCCTGAATTTTCATTTATGCTGCCTCAGAGAGACAGGTCCCCTAAATTTTGGCATCCCCCTCCCCACCAGTATAAAGATTTTCTGCCTTTAGTCTCATTCTGACTCCTGTCTTCTAATCTTAAGGTGTGTTAAAGACGGGGTTTATGGACACATGGCTTTAGTTCTGTAGCCTCAATTGTACAGGTGGGCCATGGTTTAGCCCTCAGCGTCCTTGCTCCCATGCTGGGCTCAGAGCTGAATGCTGTCTAGAGTTGCTTCACACCATATACAGGGTCTGGGTGGGGCTTGCTCTTGGCTTTGTCGGTGTGACGGACAGGCAGTCAGGATATTGACACTTGGTTCTCTGTGGCTTGGCGTCTAGATGGGGAGAGGGGATCTGCGTGAAGCCCTTGTGACTGGAAACACCTCATCAGCTTGGGTCCTGGGCTCTCATGTGCTGTGTGCAGTTGTGAATGTAGAATATGACATTTTAGGAAAAGCCGGCTTCTCTTCCCCTTACTGTACCATTTTAAATGGTGCTGTCACTAAAGGGGTCCATGTGGCTTTAATTCTGAGATCATGATCCTTGTGGTATGTAGTCCAGCCATCTTCGGGGTACAAAAAGTATTAGACTATCTTATGGTGACCCTGACTGGAGCAGCAGAAGCTAAGGACCACTTCCTCCAGGTGGAACGGGTGTCCACACACTGTTCTTTATTTGGAGCCTTTGGATTGAATCTGAAAGCTCCGCCTGAGGGGGAGGAGTCAGCTTTATGCCAGGGCTTTAGCGCCCTGGCCTCGGGGTATCTAAGGAGGGGTTTGAGAGTATCAGGCACAGGCTGGCTGACAGTGACTCTGCTTTCTCCAGCAACCCAACGAAATCTGTGCTCTGGTTGGCTTCTGTGACAAGGTCAAGAAAGTACCAATGAAGACTTTGGTCCCTGCCAGTGAGGCCGTCGAGAACGTCTTCCCTGCCCTGGAGCTGACAGACTCCTATGAGGTACCTCTGTCACTGTTGTGTGCTGACTGGGGCCATACCTTGCTCTTGCACGTTGTCACAGCCACCCAGTCACATCCGTGGTACCCTGACTGGCTTCTAAATGCCAGTTGGAGGATCTCTGAGTGCCCCAGGCCTTTGGAGTACTCCTATCCATCAGCCCCACCAATGGGTGAGGGCTTGGCTCCAAGCGAACCTTTCCACGTGTGCTTCCTGGGTCCCCTCTCCAGAGCCACAGTACAGACTGGAGGTTCCCAGAACACATGCCCCGAAGTGGTAGCAGAAGCCTCTTTGGGCTTGTTGCCTGTGTATGGACATAGGCAATACTGTGTTCTTAGAACTCTCCCTTGGCCAGGGTACACTGCTCCAAGCCATAATGTATCTGCAACATGACTGCGGGTCAGGTAGTGTTTTGGGATGCCCTCTGTTTGAGGGACACTTACTACCTGCCCAGGACCTGATGCCTGCACACAGTGCACGCACAGGACCTGATGCCTGCACACAGCGCACGCACAGTCTTCTGATTGAAGAACACCTGGTCTGGTCTGGCCACCAGCTGTTTGCCTGTTCTGGCTCCTGCAGACACTTCTGGTCCCCAGATGTCCCCTTGTCTTGTTCTCTTGCACTCCTTTGGTCCTAGCATGCCCATGGTGCCTGGCCACCAGCTGTCCCCCGTTCCATCTTCTCTGTTCTCAATGTGTGGCCCCAGGAGAGAGGGCAAGGCATCTGATGGAATAAGGAAATTGTCTGGGTACCCCCCTCACACACACACACACTCCAGTTCCCTGAGAGAAGGCAGTCGTCTGAATGCACAGCAGAGATGGAAGGCAGTGAGGACAGAGGCCCTGCCAGCACTGTATCACCAGAGGTGGACTCAGGGTGTCAAGAGCTGGCATTGACCTGGGAACAGGCAGAAACCAAATCAGCTCTACACTGCCATCTACCTACCTCTCCCACGTGAACATAGGAGAGCAATGATGAGGCCTCCGGGAAGGAAGGGGCTGCCTCTACTTTGCTTCCTGAAGTATGAAACTAGGGTGGTTTTGGAGTAGAGGGGGTCATAGAAGGCTGGGGAGTGCACTGAAGCCACCATCGCACTGCATTGGGTAGGCAGTGGCCTTTGAGGTCACAGGCCGTGTGTGTCCTGTTGTCCATTCGGTGGCAGGAGCATGCCTGTCTCAGGCTTAAAACATTCTCCTTTTGTCCTTCACAGGCCCAGAACATTATTTTCTGCCAGGCTTGTCAGTTTGTGATGAAGAAGTTGTCTGAACTAATGTCTAACAAAGCCACTCAGGTATGTTGCCTCCTTGCATGGAGAAGCCCCCTCTCTGTATTCCAGGCAGAAGGTGCCCATGGGACACGGTCTCCTGATAAATGCATGTCCCAGGCCCCAGGAGGGAGGTTTCCAGCACCCCGTGCATTAGCCAGTGTGGTCTTCAGGGGAGGGATGTAGTGCTCCCCTGCTGGCCTGTTCCCTGGTGGGTCTACGGTCTCTTCTTCCTAGCTAGCCCCAGGCTGATGCGATCCTTTCACCTGTTTCAGGACCTACTAATTAATGCCGTGAGCAAAGCATGCACACTGATCCCGGCTCCTGCTTCCACCAAGTGCACGGAGGTGATACAGACGTACGGCCCCTCCCTGGTGGACGTCCTTCTGCGTCAGGTGGGCTCAAGCTTATGTGGTGTGGTCCGCCTCTGTTCCGCTAGCCCTGATTCACTGGGGTCATTTGAGCAGCCTGCAATGCCCATCCAGCCTGGGCTACTCAAACAGCCCGAACAGCCCAAACAGCCTGCATTGCGTGGTAAGTCCAAGGCACCTGGAGGGGAAGGGGGCCATAAGAGGTCACTCTCAGGTTAAGGAGGACCCTGCCAACACTGAGCCCTGTGTCCTTTGTGTAGCCAATGTGCCTCAGAAGAAAATTGGTGGGTTCTGTGAAGTGTGCAAGAAACTGGTCACCTATTTGGAACACAACCTGGAGAAAAACAGCACCAAGGAGGAGATACTTGCTGCACTGGAGAAGGGCTGCAGCTTTCTGCCTGACCCCTACCAGAAGGAGGTATGGGCGTGGCTGCTCACTGCTAATGTCCCAGTGGGAGTGTGCAGGAGGGGCCTCTGTACTCTAGGCTTGAGGCTGGGAGGCAGCATGTGGAGCCATGGAAGGAAAAGGACCTAGGCTAGTGAGGTCAGCTCCCAGACCCTGAGCTCTGGAGTGTCTGGCTGCATGAAACCGCAACCTGTGTCCCTTCCTTTCCTTGGCAGTGTGATGACTTTGTGTCTGAATATGAGCCTCTGCTGGTGGAAATCCTTGTGCAAGTGATGGATCCTTCCTTTGTGTGCTCGGTAAGCCTCGTCAGGTGCCTGGCCTTGTAGCAGCATGCATATGGTCTAGCAGGGTAGGGTGGGGTCAGGGAGCAAGATAACCAAACTTACTATAGATTCTGGGAATTCTTCAACCTCATTTCCCTCTTCTTTTGTCCTTTATCACACAGAAAATCGGGGCTTGCCCTTCTGCCTCTAAGCTGCTGCTGGGAACTGAGAAGTGTGTCTGGGGCCCTACCTACTGGTGTCAGAACATGGAGACTGCAGCCCGGTGCAATGTGAGTGTCCTGCTGCCTTCTGTAGCATGGCTGGGGCCTCCTTATGGAAACAGAGCCACAGCCTTAGCTAACTGTGCTCTTGTCAAGAGATGATATATATGTAGGTACATGTGTGGAAGTCAGGATAACTTTTTGGAGTTCTCTTCTCCATTATGTGGGTCCCAGGGATCAAACTTTGTTTTGGGTTTGCATGGCATGTGCTTTTTTTTTTTTTTTACCCATAACCCATCTCTGTCCCCTGTGATCACTAGAGATTGTACCAAATATGTAGGACCTCTGCCTCTGAATAAGTTCAAGGGTCCCAGGGGACACTTTTTTTTCCTAGCTAAGGCCCAGCATGAGCCTTGACTCAAGGGAACTCCAAAGGTGTTTACACAGCTGGACGGGGGGCTGGGGAGGGTGGTGACTTTCCTGAGTGGGGTGCTGGACCTGGCCTCTGGTTAATAATCCTTCATACAATTTTTGTTTCCTTGTCAGGGGAGATAAATCAGTCTGGGCCACTGGTGGCCTATCTGCACTCTTACACCCATGGGTGGCATGTGGGCCAGAGGCTGCCCCTCTTGTGCCATGCTGGGTTTTTTGTCAAGCAACAGGACCTGAGAACCCACTGACAGTGTGTGAAGGGGTCTAGAGTCGTGTTGCCGGGTTGCTCTCACAAGGCAGCAAGGGACTGTGTGTTTCTCTGGTTCTGGGCCAGTGTTGTAAGAGATCAAAACTGAGGGTCCCAGGTCCTACTTTGATTGATTGTGTCCTAGGATCTCAGCATCTGTGACTTGAACAAAGTTAGGTCACATTTTGGAGAGATGCTGACCTGCACGTGACCTGTGAATGCTTGTCTTGTGCAGCCTGACCTGTTTCCCTTTCTCCTTCCAGGCTGTCGACCATTGCAAACGCCATGTGTGGAACTAGTTTTCCAGCTTGCAGAAGTTGCAGCCTAATTGTGGGTCTAGGATAATGAACACACAAGATTATTTGACTTCATTCTGAATAGGACCCCTGCCTCCCCCTTCTCTTGTCCTTCCCCCCTCTTGTGCATTGCTGTCATGTAAGAGGTGCTGATGGCCCCTTTCAGTGTTCCCCTTCTGCCTGAAGGATGAGGACATTCAGGGCATCAGCTCCTCAGCTGCCCTTTCACCCACCTGCTAGAGGGGGTGCTGAGCCAGAGAGCAGGAACGCTGGCTGAGCCCTGACTTGGTGTAGGGGGTGGGGCTTCTGTGGCCACCTCCTACCTTGAAGAGGGAGCTGCTCACCTTCCTGTGGTACCAAGGAGTTTTCTATGGATGATTTGAAGCACAGGATAATCAGGTCTTAAGGTTGATGGAATTGTCATAGCACAGAGATTTCAGAAGCACCAGCAGGTGGCTCGCTTGGGACGCTGCTGTCTAGGTCAGCCTCTCCCTCCACTTTCCTGTATTCCCCGTCTGCCTTGTTTGGGGTTCTGTGGGCTAGGGTGGGGAGGGGAAACTTCTGAATGTAACTTGCCCATGCCATGTGGGCCTGGCCTTTTGTTGTGTGGGTCATGAACAGTGTTGTCTGCTTGGCTGTCAGGGCCCTGCACGCCCCTCTCCTACCTTGTGGCTCTTGTTGAATTGCTCATTCACCTCATCATGGATGAAGCATCTGCCTGGCAGCGGGTGATGAACTGGGGGGTCTCTGTGTAGAGTAGGTACTGTCGGGAACCGTGGCTGGTCTCTTGTGTCTCCGGTTGCCAGGAGACAGCAGGATGGGCATGTGCAGCTAAATGGACCTAGATTTTAATTTGTTTTGCACTAAAGTTTCTGTGACTTAATAAAGTTCTGTTAACCAGATCTGAGCTTGTGTTTCTTTGACACCTCAGCCGGAGGCTTGAGGGGTCCATCCCATCCCCCAGAACCTCATACGTCACCAGAGTCAGTGTGTTGCTGGTTCCATGTGAGTTGCTTTTCTTTTTAAACAGAGAACATTCCAGAAACTTTCATTGAATATCAGTTAAACAAAACCTGGAGGAAATCTTGAGGGAATAACTTAATTTAGAAAAGGAATACACACAAACACTCTACATTCGAAACCCAAGGTAACAGCAGTCATGTCTCTCAACACGACAGGGAGATGGACGGATGCTTGGTTGCTGACGTCAACCTTGCATGTAGGGGCAGGGAGCCACCTGGATGTCCAGCAGGCAGAAGTTCAGTGGGACTTGAACTGAGCTGTCAGTTCTGTGCTGGGCCTCTGCTCCGCTGCGGCATAGGGAGGGGGGCTGAGTGGGTCCTCAGGCTCTGGGGGCTCCCCCAGTGATTCTCCTTACCTTGTTCTTAGACACTTAGCATTTTTTAAGTTTTCTTAAAAAAATAACCGACTTTATGAAGGTAGAGATCAGATGCTGAACCAGTATCTGGTAGGAGGTGAGTTTGAACAGCCGTACAGGCTGCCAGGGCCAGCCCAAGATCATTCACGAAGGCTGGACTGGGCAGAGAGTTGGCCATGCTCCCTGCCTTGCAGGGTGGTGGGTGGGCTGCTCAGCAGCAAGGCTTGACATCACAGCTCTGTGATTTCCAGCGGGCTCTCCATGATCACGTCTCGAAGCTTGTGCAGAGGGGTGGACTTGGCCGACTCTGTGCGGGCATTGCGCTCAAAGGCAGTGGCCTCGGAGGCCGTCAGAGTCTCCAGTGAGCGGTCCAGCCCCTTCTGGTCATCCTCCGGCAAGCTGTTGAGGTCAGTGGCCAGCAGTGTCCCTGTGCTGCCATGAACCATGTGGATTCCGTCTGGCCCCTTGAGCTCCATGGGTGGCTTGTGGCGGAAACGGAGGCTGCCCTGGCCTGGGCTGTGGTCCCCGGGCTCCTCATCCAGCTCCGTGTGGATCAGCTGTGAAAGGCGGGACACATCCTTGTGGCTCAGAAACTACTACAGAGGGCTGTGTCCGGGGTTTGAGTAGATTACCCCAGAACTGCACTGGCTGGGACCCGCCTCTTCACTGCCTCGTCTAATAGATCCACCCAGCAGGCCTGCCCGCCTTCTCAAATGGAGGGCAGAGGCTGGATATTAAAAGGGCCATCGCATGCCGTCCAGTGGGGGTGTCAATCTGGACACCACGGTGGTGTCTGAGTTGTAGCCAAGCTGACACTAAGCATGGCCAGGTAGAACCTCCCCAGAAGTAGGCGGAGCCCAGGCCTTCCATCCCTCTTGGTAGCATACACTCAGGTGAAAATGGGCTTCCGGGAAAGCTGGTGTAACTGGCAACCTCTAGCCAATGTAGGCCTGCTTGGCCCTCCTGACTCATTTCTTAGTGAAGGCCCCTTAGAAGGTAGTTTGGGGGTACTTGGACAGAAAGACCCCGCAGAGTCCAGACAGCACAACCTCCTATCTGAATTCCTGGAGCCGCCTCCGGCACAGCCTTTGGACTTGGCTACTAGGTGAGCGAGAGGGAGGAAGAGCAGAGATCGAGAACTCCCCAGTGGCAGTGTGGTAGAGTGTGTGAGAAAGCAGCATCCCCAGGAATGGGGCACGGCACACGGGCACACAGATCCCCCGCTCCCGAGGCTACCTCACTACCTCAGAGATGGAGGAATGGCAGGAGGAGGCTTTTTGCACCATCCGCTGTGCAAAGAGTTTTTTGAGCCGTAGGTAATCCTCCAGGACCACCTTCAGCAGCGAGCCCTGAGGGAAGGAGAGGGTTAACTCTCCACTTAGGCTGGTGCCTGCCCTACCCCTTGTACATACTCCCATGGCAGTGGGGGGGGGGCACAGGTATCCGGTCCTACAGCAGAGGATGGGAGGAGAGCCTGACCACTGGCCAGCCAGATGGCCTCTAAGAGACCACACAAGCCTCATTGGTCCTAGAGCCTAAACTAATAGAGTCAGGTCCAGATAAACCTACGGTTTCCATCTCCAACATCCTCGAGTAGGGGATCAAGTTCAGGAGCCCCGCAGGGGAGCGCTCACCTTAATAGGCCCCTCTCGAATGATCTGGCCCAGCTTGGCAATGTTGTCATATTCCTGAATGGCTGCACGCAGGTAGCGGTCATCATCCGGCTTGACTGCTGCTGGCTCACGCCCAAAAGTTCCCTGGGGAGAGAGAACATTGGCTGGAGCGGAGAGGTCGACACCCTCCAGAGTCTCCAGCTTGGCCACAGGCTGCCGCCCTGGCTCACATGGGTGCGGGTGGGGCTGTTCCACAGATCCGCGATCTCACTCAGGTTCTCAGGCAGGTCGTCCTCATGCTCAGCCTGCGCAGCCAGCTCCAAGTTCCGGCAGAAAGGGTCCAGCCACACGGGGTTGGCTCTGCAGTTGGGGAGTGGGATAGGGTGGGTAAGATGTCTTCATAGCCTTGCCTCTGAGGCCCGCTCATCCCCTTGGGCCAGCCAGAGTGCCTTCTGCAGGTCTGCATGGGAACTCTGCCATGGCACCTGTGGCTACATCCTTCTATCCTAGGATCCTGCTAGAGCCAGGACTGCAACCGCCAGCCTGGGTCAACTTTGTCAGGGAAGCCTCACCCACGTCTATGCCCCCTGGGTGGCATATTTCTGAGAGTGCAGAGAAGTGACTAGCCCACTAGGAGGCGCTCACACTCCATGTTTCAGCCAGTGGCTGCTATAGATACTTCTCACTAGCTGGGTACTGCAGGGATCTCTAGACTTGAGGAGCCCACACACCCGTCAAAGGAGTATTTGTTGGTATTGGGCATGTCCATGATGTCAATGAAGCCGCGGTTCCCTGCAGGGAGACAATTTGAGTGAGGAGGAAAAGGGTACAACCAATAGAAGCACCTGACCCCCTTACCCTGGTCCCCAACAGCTTTCACTCACCTGCAGAACCAGCCACAATGGCCTTGAGCTTCCTCTTGTGTCTGGAGAGAGAAAGGAGGGAGGGGAGAGGAAGAGGGGGGGAGGGGAGAGGAAGAGGAGGGAGAAGAGAGGAGGAGGGAGAGGAAGAGGAGGGAGGGGAGGGGAGGAGGGAAGAAGAATGGGGAGGTGGGGAGGAGAGTCAGTCCCCTAAGGGAAGCTGTCCTGCTATCTCTGGTCCTCAGCCCTGCCTGCCTTGGTGCCTGCTGACCAGGAGACCTCGGCCTGAGGTGGGGGGTCACTCACACAGTCCTGTAGTACCAGTTCATGAGGACAAAGAGCATGGCAGCCAAGAAGAGAAGAATGCCTAGGACAATGATGGCCATCTGTGGAGACAGTAGGCCAGCCATTATCGGGGGGGCTCAGGGGCACAATCCAGACCACAGGGACTGCCTGGCAGAGCAACGGTACCTGCAGGGCAGACATGTCATCCGGCAGCCGGACAGAGATGGCGGGCTGCACATCCAGGACGTTGTAGTTCCGGAAGAGGTTCCGCAGTTGCTCCTTGTTCTCATCAATCATCTGGATGACCCTGTGATGGGGGAAGTCCTTCTGTGTATATGTTTGTGATATTGGTTGATGGATAAAGCACTGTTGGCTTTAGGGAAACAAGATAGGTGGGACTAGGAGAGGTGGAGGATTCTGGGAAATGGAGGCACAGTCAGTCACCATATAGGATGCGAGAGCAAGAGGTCCAGTCCTTTCTCTGGTAAGAGAAGACCACGTGGAAAAACTCAGATTAGCAGCTATGGGTTAATAATTAAGTCAGAGCTAGCCAATAAGAAACCATTGTAAACTGGGTGTTGGTGGCGCATGCCTTTAATCCCAGCACTCGGGAGGCAGAGGCAGGTGGATCTCTGCGAGATTGAGATCAGCCTGGTCTACAGAACTAGTTCCAGGACAGCCTCCAAAGCCACAGAGAAACCCTGTCTTGTAAAACAAAAAACAAAACAACAAAAAAGAAAAAGAAACCATTGTAAACAGCCAACAGCTTCATAACTATTATAGCGTTCTGCATTTTCATTTGGGACATGGCTCTGGGACCAGGCTGGCATGAAGAATTCCTGTTACAACCCTGCACAAGGGTGTGGTCTCTGCGCCACCTCTGTCACCCATCGCCTCCAAGAGCCACCCTCCACCCTGGGAGCAGTGTACTCAGCTCCTGCCATGAGCCCTAATGATCACATTCTGTTCTGAAGCTTCCCAAGAGAAGTTGGGAGAGCTTAGCATCTTACAGGACCCCCAGGCCAGTGTCCAAGGTCTTGATGTACCCCAAACAAATGGACACTTTTATAGGCTAGGAGTGTGTGGTGGTTTGAATAGGAATAACACCAATATACTCATTGATTTAATGCTTGGTTTCACTAGCGAGCGGCACTATTAAGAGGCGTGGCCTTGCTGGAGGAAGTGTGTCACTGGGTAGGGGTGGGCATTGAGGTTTCAGAAGTTCAAGCCAGGCCCAGGTCCAGTGTCTTTCTGCTGCCTGCAGATTTGGATGTAGAACTCTCAGCTCCTTCTCTAGCACCATGTCTGCCTGTGTGCCGCCATGTTCCCATCATGACAACAATGGGTTAAACCTCTGAACTTGAAGCCAGAGAGGATTAAGAGTGTGTGTGTGTGTGTGTGTGTGTGTGTGTGTGTGTGTGTGTGTGTGTGTGTGTGAGACAGGGTTTCTCTGTGGCTTTGGAGGCTGTCCTGGAGCTAGCTCTTGTAGACCAGGCTGGTCTCGAACTCACAGAGATCTGCCTGCCTCTGCCTCCTGAGTGCTGGGAATAAAGGAGTGTGTCACCACTGCCCAGCCCAAGTGTTTTCCTTTAGAAGAGTTGCTGTGGTCACGGTGTCTCTTCACAGCAATAGAAACCTTAACTAAGACAGAGCGTGAGGCCCAGAGGGATGAACACAGCTCCTGGTGCCTCCCTTTTCCCCCAGCTCTGACCATGCACTGAGTCCAATAGTAAAGTGTGTGTCTGCTTTGGGGGTTCCCATCCCTC